AGAGTGGTGGCAGTATCACAGATTAAAGCTGAAATAACCAAAGCAGCATGTAAAAATCAGAAAATACACGGGCCAATGGTGAAGGAGTAAAATGTGCGTGGGCTCCTTATTTGGGAGGGGAAAAAAAAAGGAGAAAAAAGGAATATAAGGTAAACCATATGAACAGGTTTTTTTGGGGGTCTCTGTTGATCAGCCCTGTACCTGATTATCAAGATTGATGCAATAATAAACCATACTAATAAATTGTAATAATGACTATTGTTTTTCAGTCTCTACCTGACTGGCTTCTGCAGACAGGGGCATCTGGGATGGCTTCCGTAAGTGCTAGCAAGGCAATGGAGGATGGACCAAACCTTCCTAAAAGAATTTACATCCCCAGATACTTTTCAAGTATTTTCCAGTGACAACTTCCCCAGTCATTTCTCACAGACTCTCACATACTCTTGATTATTCTTGCACATGTACTGTACTCTAATTGGTTTCCACCCTGTTTTTCTTCAGCATGTGAAGATCATTCTTATCTGTAATGCTGCATTTTAAACCATTTTCAGATATTTAATATTTGCAAAGTTAGTAGATTTACTTTGCTAATGCACCAGAAAGGAAGTATTCAAGGGAACTGAATCCAAGACAAATATTTTCAGGAGTTCTAGTCAATATGTCAGTTTCAAAAATGAATCATTTATACCTACCATTGGTTTATCCAACAAAGTCTGCACAACTAAATCTATATAATACTTGTTTTAAAATATTGTAATGTCAAGAAATGTCATAAATCTTGCTGGAATCAAGATACATTGCAGCAACTGGCTGTCACCCATCCACAAGATGTGTTGTACTATCACAGGAGGAAATTAGATTGGTTGTCACTATTTATTCTTCACAAATCCTTCAGGGCAGTCATTCATTTGTTATCTTGCAGCTGCATACAAACATTTTGTTTATGTATTTCAAATTTCCTCCTAAAGGTTGAAGTTAAATTGATGGTCTAATTCCCCAACTTCTCTTTCTTTTTTCATTAACAGCCATGATGCTTGCCCTTGCCTTATCTTTCGATATGTCACCTGGCAGATGCAAATTCCCTGAACTATCTTGATAATAGTTATGAGATTACTTTCACCAGTTTTTCAAATATCACCATGTATTAAAAGCATACATAACACTAAAACTTCCCTTTGTAAGGCAATCTGAGATTTTGAGATTTTATTTGGTTTTGCTAGTATTATTTGCAAAAACTATGTTTAGTGAAGGCTGACCTCTGATATGCTGAGTAGAAGACAAACCTTTGTCTTTTTCTTGTTAATGCACTTAATTTTTTGTTCCCTATCTATCCCATGCTATTTTAATCTGTGCCCTGGCCTTCGTGGTACTATGACATGCTATGCTTTTGCCACCCTTGTCTCTAGATTTCACTTTTTGTATGATTTCGTCTGGACGTCAATGAAGAGGTCATTGCAAATAATTAAAACAAACAAGTGAAGAGGCATTCTAGGAAGTAGTGAAAAACTGTTTTACAGCATCACAAGAAAAAATATACATAATCTTAGCTAAAATCTGATCTATATTTTCTATTTCTACTGAGAAGAAACATTTTTATATTTTTATAAGTGGAGGACAGGAAATGATCATAATAGTTACAAAAAACCACCCAGGAAACAAAATAAAAACCCTTGCAAGTAGTTTTTCTGTACAGAGAATTGCCTAATTTACTGCTTTATAAAATATACTGAGCAATCCTGCAGTGTGTCTCTTTTTGAAAATTGAGTCCCCAATCTAGCTGCCTACTGATAGCAAAGAATCAAGTGCCTTCAAGTCTCTAGAGTACTATAATAAATTATATCAAGCAGAATTAGAAGCTATGATATTTGGAGAATGGTGGCTGTAACATCTTCTACAGTCAATAAAATCATGTACAAAGTGGCTGAATCCTCTCCCGTCCTTAGGGAGCAAGAATATTTTCTAAAAGTATTCAACATATAGATGCTTTGTCATCTACACAGGTGTCGTGGTTTAAACCCAGTCAAGTAATTCGTTCACTCACTCCCCCCCTTCTTTCCCTCCCCCTACTCCTGGAGAGACGGAGAGGAGGATCAAAAAGATTGCAACTCGCATGGGTTGAGATAAAAACAGTTCAGTAACTAAGGTATAACACAAATCACTACTCCTACCACCAATGATAATAATGATAAAGGAAAAAACAAGGGAAGAGAATACATCACCTCACCTCACCACCAGCCAACCGATAACTCGCCCCCCCCAGCCCAACCAAGCTCTGACCGATACCTCCTCCAACTCCGCAGTCTCCCCAGCCCTTCTGGCTAACTCCCAGTTACATCCTGGGCATGATGTGCTGTGGTATGGAATAGCTCTTTGGTCAGTTTGGGTCAGGTGTCCTGTCTCTGCCTCCTCCCAGCTTCCCCTCCTCCCTGGCAGAGCATGAGCCTCACAAAGTCCTTGGCCAAACCAAAACATCGCTATCAGCTCTGTTCCCAGGCTGAAAGTCAAAACACTGCACTGCACCAGCTACCAAGAAGGAGAAACATGACTGTTACTGCTGAACCCAGGACAACAGGTTATATATGCGCTTGAAGCCAGAGCTTCAGCAGTGGTACTTATTTAATACCTTCAAAATATGTGTAATCCCTGCACAGTCATAGCCTTTGACATGGACTAACTAGCATGGCATGCCCTGGGATAGTTAGAACTCCCCGAACAATTCTCAAGGACAGTCTGGGATTTAAGCATTACTGGGAATCATTTCTCTTAAAGGACTCAAAGGTAATGGAGAAAACTCACCGCAGGCAACACAATAATGAAATTCTAAGGACCTGTTTAATTCTTCAGTAAACCCCATACTCAAGGGCAACGATAAGTGTGCATCTATTACCAATTTTACTTTAAGGCAGCTCTTCAAGCGACCTTCAGTCTCTTAAGTTTAGCCTTCCTCTAAGTCTTAAATCAATTGCATCAACAAGAGCTATTCAAATTTGTACAAACATTATGTAACTGACTGTAATAGGCTCCATTAATCTAGGGCAGATCAAGGCCTCTTCTGTTTTCAGTTATCATTGTCAAGTTTTGTTTTATTTTATTCCTTTGTGATAAATATATATGATTCACATTTTATTTGATTTTAAAGTAAATTTTCACAGGACATTTTAAAGTCTGATTTTTTTACATTTGCTCCTGTAACATTTTTATGTTTGCTGGTTTTATTTACTTATCTGCCCAAATTAGTCATAAACTTTTTTTCACTTTTTGGCAGAGAGCAATGCTTTGTGTTGCCAGTTCCACCTTAAATTTTCAGCTCCGGAAATTAAAGTCCTAATTTTATCTTCCTTTCTTTTCGTATTTGGAATGGAAAAAGTGGGGTAGATTTGTACTGCGTAACCTTAGGCACTTACTTATATGATACATTAAGAGGCTTTTTAGGACCTCAGTATAGTCAAGACAGAAAAGGTTCCCATAAAGGATCTTTAAAGGGTTGTTATGAACTCTCTGAAATAGAATAATTGCCTCTACTGACTATCTAGGCAGTTTATGGAGACTAGCCTGTTTATTCAGGAAATCAAATTAGGTAGTTAAGTGACATACTGTATGACTGTCCCCAATATTTTTTTAAAAAGAGGAAAAATATGTCATCCTTTTTTTAATTAAACCCATTATGTGTGGTCAAACTGATATGTATAAACTTTGAACAGTCACTGAAGTATTTGTAGTAGAGAGTTGAAAAATATCCAAATTCAATACCTTTCCTTCTGGCATCCATAATCACATATTTTCCTTATCAGTTTAATTAATAATTAAAAGTCATGGCAAAAAGAGTAATTAAATGATCACTTCTTACATAGAACAGGTATTTATTTTGATTTTATGGGTAACTTAATTATCTAGTATACACAAAACTAAAGTCTGTAGAGGATTTTGAGGCCTACTTTTTTTAAAAAAAAGTACTGACTCAAATATAAGAAAACAATTTCATGTGTTAAGAAAATGCCAATGGTTAAATATTTTTAATAACTTCTAGAAGAGTCTATAAATGTCCGAGTACATTCTACAAATAAGATGATGAAATAGTGACATACAAAAAAATATACAAGCTGTGAAACTAATAAGTATTTGATCCCAATAAGAGAGTTTTTTGTTTTTTTTACTCAGTTTGACCTGTGTAATAAAATTCCCTAATAAATTTCTGGAGAAAAACACTGTAAAAGACACTTTGCTTGATTTTCACTTTATTAATCTACAAACCCAGTATTTTTGAAAACAGAAGGGATCAGGTTCTTTGTTTCTGAGTAAGGATTCAATGCCAGATTGATGCAATGAAAGTACATGTAAGTGAAACTTAGTTTTATAATACAAGCTTCAAAGTACTTCTCAGAATTACAGAATTAGCCTGGAAAATGCTATTACTATATTTTACAAAAGTAAATTCAAAAATCACTTTGCAATGTTATAAGAAGTAAGAACACCCTCCAGCACAGTAAATTCATCTGGCTCTTCACAACATTTGGCTAGTTGGAGCAGAAGAAATACCTTGTTACTCTGCTGAGCTTCAAAAGTCCCAGACAAACAGTCATGACAAATGCAATCTGCACACTATGACACATGTACAAGACTGGATTTTGAACAGACTCCTTGGGTATATGTGCACCATATGTGATATGAATACAGAGTTAAACTGTTTGAATCACTGCTGCAATATTGAATGCAAACATACACTACGCTTTTCCAAGACCTGGATGTGAGTTCCACTGTCCCCCTCTCATTTATTTCATGGCTCCACCTAACTCACTTTTTTAGGTCTAAAATGAAAGATTCTGCTCATTACTGTGGATTAGTAAGACTCTACTGAATTAAATAGGTCATTTCAGAACCTCAAACCATAGAAAACTTGGGTTTAGAATTTTAAAACTGTAAGCTCTACAAATTTTGCAACTTAATGCAACGACAAGAATACAGAAAAAGAAAAAAAACCAATAACATAATGAAAGTCTTACCTGGTCTGAGGGCGAACAGCATTTATTTGCCATTTTCATCTATGAAAGAGAGATGAAAGAATACACAGAGATTTTAATATGCTGGAGAATTTCTATGATGCAATTAGCATTGGCTTATATACTGAATACTGTATTAATATTGCAAGTTATATTTATAGGAAATTAAATCGTTCAGTGCTTATATACTAGATTTTTACTATTACACTAAATTTACAAAACCAAGGACACAAAAGATGCTAAGCCTTTTACCAGTTTTCATTAAATCATTCACAAAGATTTGCATTTATAAATTCAATTTTGTCATTCTGAGTGAAACAATTATACTGAACTGTAGACACCTCACTTACTTAGGTCTTAGTTAAACAATTAATTACAGATCTGTAAGTGAGGTGTATGATTAAATACTTTTGAAATGAAGGCTATAGAGTGTCAGACATGCTTAAAACAAAGGGAACATTGTTTATGCTTTCCTTCTAGTTTACTCTTCAAGATTCAAGTTATGTATCTTTCTTTTTCATGCCTGTTCAGATAATGAAGAGTTTTGTCAATTTTGTCCTTTTTTTTTTTTTTTTTTGCAGTCACAGTTTGTGTAAATAAGTGGTGGACAAACCCTGACAGATATTTCCTTCTTTAAAGTGAAACACTTCTTTAAAGTGCAAAATTTGTAAGTGTCATAATGATACGGAATCCAGACAAAAAAAGATCAGGCAGGAAAGACTGACTCCCCTATAACGCAAAGATACGAGCTGCAAACTGTTCTACCATTGATGAGTACTTCCAAAGGATCTTCTCTAAAAGCCTGTTTTATAACAGGGTTTGTGATAGAAGACCAAAAGCTATGCCTTAATAAATGAAGGGAAGAGGAAAAAAACAGCTGATATAAAGGAAATCACTCACTGCCTCCCACAAGCCGACTGATGCCCAAGCAGTCTCCAAGCAACAGCCACCTATATCACTTTTATTGCTGAGCACAATTGTATATGGTATGGAATATCTCTTTGGCCAGCCTGCATCAGCTGCCCTAGCTGTGTCATTTTGCAGTTCCTTCCCCATCCTTGCTGGGGTGGTGGGATGTGTCAGAGTGAGAAAAAGTCAAAGCCTTGATGCTGTGCAAGCACTGTACAGTAACAGTCAACATATTGGTGTGTGATTAACACTGTTTTAGCCTCAAATATAAAACACAGCATCATATGGCTGTTATGAAGAAGGTTATCTCCATAACAGCCAGACCCAGTATGCCTCTAAGAGGCCAAAAGGCTCTTGTTACAGTAATGACAAGAGCCTCAGGATGTGTCAGGGTTTGTCTGGACTGTCTGGAGCTCTATTACAGCTTGTTTAGCTGTAACATACACACTAATAACCATGGGACTATTGCCTACTTGGTATCAGCAAATTACAGTTGTATAATGCAATTATATATATAAATCATACATATAAATCTTATAGGTGTATATATAAATGAAGTATATAAAGTATAGACACACGTACACACTTGTAGCTAACAGACGGCAACAAGAAGTCATTATTCGACACAAAGTGAATTATCTATGACCATAAATAAAATTACCAGATGACAAATGCGATGTGGAGGATTACAGGACAAGAGCAGGAGCCTTGCTTGTATGGACACAGGATGATACACAGTTTCACGGCTGTAGCACTCATTCCTAACCTATTATGGGCCATTAGGGCTCCTCCTCCCCTGTACTCCCTTTTGCAGCCTACTGGAAATGAATTGTGTGGTCAAATGGTGCAGGTGTGCTGGTGGGTGAGACAACTGGGCTCTGGGGTTGTGAGAGTAACTCAGGCTCTGGGGATGAGGTGGCCAGACCTGCTGGGAGCCTGGGCATCTGCCAGGCCTGGCTGTCACTTTCAGTATAGTGCTGGGAAAGTTTGCCAGCCCCTTGAAGGGGCCCTGCCAGGGAAATAACAGGGACAACTACAGCAGAACAAAAAACAGCAGATGCAGACACCTGCACCATAATAGGAATGATGATGAGGATGGAGCTGACATGCAGCTGCCAAGCAGAGCAGAGAAGCCCCCAGCAAGGCTCATTGCAGCTCTTGCACGCAGCTCTGCGTACAGCAGCCTGATCGCAGCCTGCATGGATGCAGCCTGCCAGAGGTGGCCTGGAGCACTCTGGAAGGGTGAAGAGGTGGCACAGCTTGTGGCCCCAACAATAGTAAACCAGTGAGAACTCAAGAACCCCACTCTGTCAACTGGTGTCCTGGGTTCAGCAGTTGCAGTCATGTTTCTCCTTCGTGGTAGCTAGTACACTGCTGTGTTTTGACTTCCAGCCTGGGAACAGCGCTGGTGATACCGATGTTCTTACGTGTTGCTATGGGTACCACAGATAGAAAATATCTAACTCTGATTTTGGTAACAAAGTACCCCTTATTTCTTCAGTTATGCAGTTGTTCCCTGATGCACAAGGTAGCCCTTTTTTTGGCTGACAAAACCAGACCTCTGAAGTAGTCAGATCAATGGTATTTGACAGCAAGGACTGTTCTTGTCTCAACCCGTGGGAGTTGCACTTTTTCCTCCTCCCTGTTCCTCCAGGAGCAGGGAAGGGGAGAACCCCGGTGGGGTGGGGGGCTCGATTGCTGTCAGCCCGGCACCACTCACTGGGAGAGAGTGAACAAGTTGCCTGACTGGGTTTAAACCACGACAGTTCTTTTGGCACCCAACATGGGGCACGAGGGGTTGAGATAACAACAGATCTGACAGGATTAACAGTCACTCGTCACAATGCTGATTTATTGGCTCTCAAGGTTGTTCCTCTTGATCTCACAGGTTCAGTATATCATATCTTATGTCCATCCGGTATTTGCTGTATTAGTGTTTTTAGTGTGGGGCTTGGGCTAAGGTTTTTGTCTCATTGTACTTTATGGTAATGACTTGTAATATATTAGAATCATTGATCATGAAACTGATCTGGCTTATGTTCCCAGTGTGGTCACCACCTTTATACTTTGGGAGGTATATAATAGAAGTGCTTAGCAATTACACATCTTTTTTCTCCTTCTCATGTGCTCAACCTGTGAAGGAGACATTCTTTTACCCTCCCACTCTTCCACCCAGACCATTTACATTTGAGAGTTTTGAAGTTTTTGAGTAGCCTTTTAATGCTGTTGAGACTTGTTTGCTGATGGTCATGGGAATCACCATGCTAACACGCATACAGAGTGTGTTTTGCCTATGACTGATTTCAAGAGTTAAGCAGAGTCAGGTTTGGGTCTTGTCTGGGGTCAAACGACGATGTAGGAGGACCAAGAGATTTTTCCCTGAGGCTGGACAGCCATGAGTGGCAGGGTGTGGGGGATAGTATGGGCAAGTATCTAGGTCAGTGGGCCCCTCCAGTACTTTGGAATTTCACTACCGAACAACTGCAAAATCCAGAAGAATTAGTAAAACACTTAAATGAGGTGTGTGGTCATTCTGGCCATACCAGAGATGGACAAATCACGGCAACGTGCTGGGGCTTGGCCTATGCTTACAGGGCCTTGTTCAACACTATCCAGCACCTTCAAAAGGAAAAGAATGTCGGCGGATCTGAGGGCAAAGCAACAGTCAGCGCAGCTACTCCAGCTCCAGTCACAGCAGCTACACCACCCCCAGCAACAAGTACAGTCGCTACTCAAACTCTGGGTGCAATGAACAGCACAGCTACCCCAGTGGCAAGTACAGCAGCTGCTCAAACTTCGACTGCAACAGACAGCGTGGTTACCCCAGCTCCAAGCACAGCAGCTACACCACCCCCAGCAACAAGTATAGTCGCTACTCAAACCACAGTGATAATCACTGCAGCCAAACCAGAGGACCAATTCGTACCAATATTGGTTGCCCCTGTATGCAAGAGAACAAGCAAAAAAGAGGCAAGAAAGGTGAAGCGAGATGAAGAAACAATGAATTCACCACCCGGTCTAGAATCTGATCAGGAGTCATCATCACATGACGAAGAACAAGAGGTAACTTCTCGACCTTGGACCTCAACCCAGCTACGGAATATGCGAAAAGATTTTACCCGCAAACCAGGGGAGCACATCATCACCTGGTTACTCCGATGCTGGGACAATGGGGACGATGGTCATGAACTAGAAGGTACAGAAGCCAAGCAGCTGGGATCACTTGCTAGAGAAGGGGGAATTGACAAAGCAATTGCAAGAGAGGAAAATTCCCTCAGTCTTTGGAGGCGGCTCTTGGCAGCTGTGAAAGAAAGGTTTCCATACAAGGAAGATGTTCTGAGTCGTTCGGCCAAGTGGACTACTATGGACAAAGGCATCCAGTCTCTGAGGGAATCAGCCATCGTAGAGATGATCTATCACATCAAGCTGAATAACGGGGATATACCCATAGATCCAGATGAAGTTGAATGTACACTACCCATGTGGCGAAAACTTACACGGAATGCACCGTCATCGTATGCCCATTCATTGGCAACAGTAACCTGGAATGACATAGTACCACTAACAGTGGATGAAATGGTTCATAAACTCCGAGAGTTTGAAGACAATCTCACCCCTTCCATCATCTCAGCTGTGGAAAAACTGTCCCAGGACCTCAGACAATTGAGGGACGATCTATCTGATTTATCCAGCTCCTCACGTGTACCAACACACGTCTCAGCTATTAACAAAAGGTGTCCTATTGTTCGAGAGAGGAGATACAGGAGGTATACGCCACGGGCTACCCTATGGTTTTACCTGCGGGATCACGGAGAAGACATGACAAAGTGGGATGGAAAACCTACTTCAGCTTTGGAGGAACAGGTGAGTGAATTGAAGAGGGGAGCAAGGGCCAAGACTGATCATCCCATGAGAGCTGCGGCTTCAGTCTCTGGTGAGCAGGTTCCCAGATGGAGCAGAAGAGCTGATTTTACTCCAGCTCCTGTAATAACGAAGAATAATCCCTTTCAACAAGACTTAAGTGTCCAACATTGTGATGACCATTAGAGGGGCCCTGCCTCCAGCCAGGTGGAGGTAGGGGACAATCGGATTTACTGGACTGTGTGGATCAGATGGCCTGGCACATCAGTCCC